AGAAGGAGAAAGAAGGACTATATGTGGCCTTATGTAGTAGTCTACCTGTAGTCCTTTTGCTGGGGAAGGACAGAGCTGTGACCAAAGTGTCCAGAGAGGCCCACTACTGCTTAAACCCAGAACCTCTCCATTCACAGAGCAGTTTGCTCTGCATCAATTTTTAACTGCAGAAAAGCCTTCAATGTAAATGTGTTCATATTCACAATTTTATTTATTCTTAAACTTTTTTCCCAATTAAATGTTGAGGCTTTGACTAAAAAGCTATTAATATTATAAACATAATAAAGTATTAATAAATTAAATATATTAATACAATTAATATATTAATAAAATAATTATAATAAATAATAAATCATTAATGCAATAATTATTTTTCAATGCTTCAGCAAGTGCTGATTTTTTTCTTCATTCACAAAAAGGTTTGGCTTAAATGTCCAGGGAAAAAGAAATCCCTTACCCATAGCTCTCTGAAGCATCCTGAGTCGAAAAGGTTGTCTGTCCTCATCACCTCGTTAGGATACTTGACGATAATTCACAGACCTTTAGGGGTAATCTGCAGGCTTTCAAATACTGTCTGGAATAGTGAAAACCCTATATTTTTAAAAATATGGTAACTGTTTCATGGTTTCCTCAGGCAATTAGCCTGCTTGCTACAAGTTGTCCTGCTTCTACCCCCAGAGAGTAAGCATTTGGTCTGTCTGTTTGGAATTATCATGTATTTCTTTCTTCCCTCTAGGTAGGTCACTAGATTCCTTTATGAACAGTGGGCATCAAACAACCATTAAAAAAAAACTAAATATGTGCAAAAGGCAGCTGTTAATATTTCTCAAGAGCATTAACTCATAATGAGTCATATTATGTGAAATTATAAAATACTATCAGAAAAGGGCACTTTACATACCATAATAGTCATTTTATAAAGTTCAATTTGGCAATTCCAAGCCACATTTAATTTTCTCTGAAAATTCCCACGCGGCAGAAAGATATTGCTCTTTGTGGTTTTCAAGTCTATTTCAGGGAACTGTAAAATGACAACCTTTTGGAATTAGCACTTTTTCTATAAATAGATACTAAATCACTTTGCCAAATAAAGTCACATATGCATTTTCATTAAAGTAAATACTTAAAATAATAAGTGATTTTGCTATATAACCATTCTGGGATCTATGAAAATTAGAATTCTGTACCACAGTGCAGTATGAATCATTTGTAGTTCTTCATTTCACTGATAGGTGGGGCTAGTAATTTCTGTATTAATTATAATATTTTAGCATGTTAAAATCTGTATCTAGATGAAGCAGATACTTCAAAGCTTCAAAACTGATGAAACTGCATACTTCTCTTTTAAGGGATAAAACTGCTTGCATTAATATGTGAAATACACTACTAAAACACCCCCTGCTGATTTCATAGGCTTTGCCGGGAGTTTTGCATAATTTTCTGAAAATTAAAGGACCGAGGATCAGTATTTATGATGATAAAAATTAGATCTCAAGAACTATTAAAAACTTGGAAGATTCTCCTAAAATGGAATTTTAAAAATTGAGTTCAACAATTATTTAACACATGCCAGAGGTAAAAAAGAGCAGAGGAGACTCAGAAGATCAGAATTTGAGATTCCGCTGCACACTTACCAGCACCATAACATTGCTCACCTGATACCGTTGTAAACCTACATCACAGAATTGAAATAAGAATTAAATGAAGTAACTTGGGAAACTTTGTATAATAGGTTGTAACTTCACAAATGTTGGTTATTGAATGTAGCAGGTCTAAGACAATAATTCTCATATTTTGATGTAAGGATAAATTCTCAGGAATCCACAAATTCTCCACATAAACCATGTTTTTACTCCTTTTAATTTTGTTTTTTATGTTAGTGCTAATCTTTTTTTTTTTTTACATTTATTAGAGAGAGAAAGGACCATACATGTGGGAGAGGAAGAGGGAGAGGGAGAGAGAATCTCAAGCAGACTCCCCATTGAGCACAGATCCCCATGTTGGGCTCGATTTCACAAACCTGGGACCAGCACCTGAGTCAAAATCAAGAGTTGGAATGCTTAATCCACTGAGTCACCCAGGTACTCTGATGATTTTTGGTGCTAATCTTTAAAAAACTCCATGTGAGCACATTCTAGATCATCTGAATATCCTCCATATAGCTGCCATGCAACATATATCTTCAGGAGAGCATTAACACCAGAGTAATTCAACTTCATTTGTTTCCAAGTGAATGAAAACAGATACAAGCAGACCTTAATATGTAGCTTCCATGTCCTCCAAGGGAAAGGCAACGGACAATGGCAAAAATTCTGAGCAAAGATTTGGTGGTAATTTGAATCCAGAAAACCAATGAGAAAATCATTACAAGGCATGCTGTGACCTTAGTAAACTGAACTTTGAGAAAACAAAATCCTGCCTTAAGAGCAGTGATTAGGGCAGACTGGGTGACTCAGCGGGTTTGGCGCTGCCTTTGACCGAGGGTGTAATCCTGGGGACCCCGGATTGAGTCCCTCGAGTCCCACATCGGGCTCCCTGCATGGAGCCTGCTTCTCCTTCTGCCTGTGTCTCTGCCTCTCTGTGTCTCTCATGAATGAATAAATAGAATTAAAAAAAAGAGCAGTGATTAAACACCTTGCATCATTTATATTGATTTTGTAGCTTAGCACATATTTATTGTAATTGTTTTAGTTAAACAGCCATAGGAAAATTGTAACCTTAAGCTTATGCTCAGACTAATACTCCATTTATTTAAATAAGATTATAAAATTAACATATCTTAGTTAACTTAAAAATAATACTTGAGGGGTGTGACCCATGAGATCAGAACTCAGAAAAGAAAAAAAATTATGGTTAAGTCTTCTTTCTGTACCTTGCTGTGCAATCCTGGATAATGACGTCCTTCACAGTAAAAGAATGATAACAATCTCATTCACATAGGAACACCATGAGGAGTAAAGGAAATAATTATATGTAATTGTAAATGAATGCCTTCCCAGGTATAGTAGGACTCTGAATCAAGAGTTTAGGCTTTCAAACTACATTTCTATGCCACCTTGGGCAAATCACCTTACCTCTATGAGAGTCATGTCCCAATTTTCTAAAGCTAGGAGCTATGTCAGATTATCTCACAGTTCTTTTAATATAGCTCCAATAGGAAGTGGTTGGGTTTTCCATTGAGATTTCAGCGAAAATTTCATTCAATTTCACTCTTATCATATCTGCAGGTACTTGTTTTTCCATTAGCTTTATTGTAAACTCACCACTCTGAGAAATAAAAAATGTTGATTCACTTGTGATCAAGGCAGCAATTTGCAAAAAAACACAGTCAGGAAAGCTAAATTCTCCTACATAGCAGAGAGAGTTCAATCTTTGCTTTGTTGTTTCCTGTTATAATAAACAGAATTCAGATTTGAGTCTTTGACCTTAGATATAACCATCCTAGGTGAGTCAAAGGACCTCTCAACATTGACTGTACCGCTTTAAAAGCAGGCTCTGGACACAGACTTGTGGATTCAAATCCTGATTCCACTACTTATTAGCTATGCAGCCTAGGACACAGCTCTGAACCTCTCTAAGCCTTTGTCTTTTGTAACAATTAATGAGATAACAGTTGTAAAGCACTCAGCTGTGAAGCTGGTACTTTGGGAAACATTGGGCAAATGTTAGCTATTACAAGTATTATGTTTATTTCCCTTCCTTTTCATCCTTACCTTTCCAAGTACTGCAAGAAGAGACCACAACACTTGGAGCAGTGAGGGTCAGTAAGAAAATCTGGGGAAAAAAAAAAAAAAAGAAAAGAAAATCTGGGGAAGGCAAACAAGGAGTGGCAACTAACACTCAATGCAAAGGCAGATAACTACAAAAAGTAGCCACTATGCATGTCCAGAAACTTAGATTGGGTCTGGGTTCCATTATTTTCTAGTTTTGTGAGTATTAGTTAATTTGTATCACTTAAGTTTTTGTTTCCTCCGCTTTCACTAGAGACTAGTTATATTTATATCATAGGACTGTTGGTGAAATGCTCAAAAACAAATACTCGACATACTTGAAAACACTTCCTGAACTCTAAACAAGGCAGCTTTTCTCACTGGATACATTTAAAGGGGGCAGAAGAATTGGATTCTACCTCTGGCCCTTCTCACCACAAACTGCGCTCCTCCTTAACCCCTCTGGCCGGGATCGTCTGCTAGATCCTTGCGGTAGCAAGGCCACCACTGATTACCAGCTGACCCATGCCTTGCACACCAGGCGACTCCTCTTTTAGTTCTTGCAGCCTTAAGGGAGATATGTCCATTTAACAGATGAAAGACTAAGGCTGAAAGAAGTTAGAAACCTGCCATCAGCACCTACAATGCCAAAGTTCTTTTTTTTTTTTTTTTTAAGATTTATTTATTCATGAGAGACACAGAAAGAGAGGCAGAGACACAGGCAGGGGGAGAGGCAGGCCCCCTGCAGAGGGCCCGATGCGGGGACTCGATCCCAGGCCCCCAGGATCACGACCTGAGCCCAAGGCAGATACTTAACCACGGAGCCACCCAGGCACCCCTACAATGCCGATGTTTTGAAAACATCCACCATAAGAGAAAATTGTTAGCAACCGATAGTTTTGCCTCTAATCATTGGCTTTCCCGCAATTATCCACGGAGGGGAACGCGGCAAGTGCATCCGCCAGAAGCCCCAGGGGGCGTTCCTAGGCGCCAAGCTCCTGAGACCCACCCCTCCGAGACCCGGTGGGAACGTGAGGTCCCCGCCTCCAGGCCGCCCTGGCCCCGCCCGCCAGGAGAGGCCCCGCCCACCAGGAGAAGCCCCGCCCCCGGGCTCCGCTCCGTCACCGGAGGAACACAGCGCAAGCCCAGCCCGCGTCGCGCTTAGCGAGAAACGGCGCATGCGCTCTGGATGCGTCCGGATTTCCTGTCTGCCCTCCCAGCTTCCGGCGAGGTACATCCGACCAATAGAGTGGGCTCGGGGGCGGGCCTTCATGCTCGCAGCTCCCGCCATCCTCCCTGGGTGATTTAAGGGCAGCGCGGAAAGTCCGCCGTGCAAAGTGGACGGTTCCGCGGGGCTTGATGGCTGCGTCCGGGACGCTGAGTACTTTCCGACTCCCGCCGTTGCCCACGATTCGAGAAATCATTAAGTTGTTCAGGCTGCACGCCGCGAAGCAACTGTCCCAGAATTTTCTCCTGGACTTGAGGCTGACAGGTGGCTGTCTTCTCAGGGCTGCCCGGCTGTCTCCCCGCATCCCCGGGCACGTGGGTCAGGGAGCTGGCCTGGACCTGCGGGCGGGTTTCTGGGGTCAGGCGATGTGCAGGGGGCCTTCGGTCAGGGCCTTGTACCGCTTTGTGCTGAAAGAACCCCGGAGCACGTAGAGGGTGGTTGGCCTGCAGGAGGCCGTGCTCGCTCGCGGGTGTTGGCCGTGGGCTAGTGCAGGCAGGCTGTGCAGACGCCGAGCAGACGCTAGGGGAGGCCGGGGTCGCGTGTCCTGAGGCGGATGGGGAAGTTGGAATCACGGTGTGCCAACCCAGGACCTGGGGCTGCACGCGCGACTTTGACCTCTCATGCAGTTTAAAGCTGTCAGAATTTGTATTAGTGCAGGGAGTTTTTCAGTAACGTGTCGCAAGAGTGTCACTCGTGGGATGACGTTATTTAAAGGGTAACCTGGGGGACCCCTGGGTGGCGCAGCGGTTTGGCCGCCTGCCTTCGGCCCAGGGCGCGATCCTGGAGACCCGGGATCGAATCCCACGTCGGGCTCCCGGTGCATGGAGCCTGCTTCTCCCTCTGCCTGTGTCTCTGCCTCTCTCTCTCTCCCTCTCTGTGTTACTATCATAAATAATTTTAAAAAAAATTTAAAGGGTAACCTGTTGAATGCAAAACTCTTGAGGGCGCAGATACTCGGTAAATGCATTATCAGACAACCTACGGCGTGCGGGTGCTGGAGACGCAGCTGGGGAGTGAACCAGGCAAAGTCTGTCCTCAAGGAGCTTACATTTTTAGTGAGCTCACATTCCCACCCCTTATTTTAAGTCCCTCTTTACGCGGTGAAATTTTATGTGCCATGAAATGAACCAGTCTGGAGTGCAGAGTTTGATATACATTCGTTTAACCGCCACCCCCTCTCCCCCGCCCCATATCTTGCTGATGGTTTCTTCTGAAAGGTGAGGTTGCAAGAATAACAGGTATTAGCAATAGGTCCACTGTTGGAGAATTTACTGTATTTGGGGATTTGATACTTAGTTCCATTTTGGCCCCTCTTGAGAACCTGGAAAGATCAGCAAATCATACCCCAAAAGTTGATTTTTCAGTTAAGTGACGTATGAGTAAGATATTTTATTTCTTGGATGTGGAGTCTTCGTGCTACCAGTAGAAATAGGACTTAGGGTAAAATACCTTGACTAAACTTCAGTTTCCCTTCTGTTAATTGGAGGAGGGCCCCTACTTCGAGAGCTTTAAAGAGTTATCCACCTCTAAAATTCTTTAGTTCTAGCAGTAACTAGAAACCGGCCTTGTCTGCCAGTCACTAGTCCCATTCTATAGGTAAATAAAGCGCCTTTCCTTTTTTTTTTTTTTTTTTTTTTTTAAATAAAGCTCCATTCTTAAGACGGAAGATACAGGTCTTTATATTTTTGCTGTTAAAAAAAAAATCCTTTGTGTACAGTATCTTGTGTGAGCCTTTAGTCATCCTTAGGAGTAAATTCTGGAATCTAGATACTATTCCTTCTCTGGGAACCAAAGTGAAGGAAGATTAAAGTACTTGTCTGGAGTAAGAAGCTCAGATGGGAGCAGATATTTAGCGAATTGACAGTGCCTCTTTGATACTGTATTGGAATGTGCCTGAAGAGTTTGAAGGCAGAGCCCCTGACCTCTCTACTATGGTAGCACCTCATTTAAAAAAAAAATGAGAATTTAAATCCATAATACCTGTGCTTACTGTATCAACTCTGTTGCCTCTGAAAGGCATTGGTGTGTAGTGGAGGAAGGATCGCTTTAGAATTTACCCCTGAGCTGGAGCCCCTTCTCTTCCCTTTTCTTTCTAGATGACTTTGTACACATGAAACGACAGACAAGGAAATTGAAAAGTTCAGAGAAGTTAAATCGGGATAGTAGTTCTTAATGTGTTAGAAGGGTTGGAAGGATTGTGAGATGCAAGGGAGCAAGCATGTAAAGCACCTAAAACAAATTGTTGGTGAACATATATTAATTCCCTCCCAGCACTAGTTAAAAGCTATTTGGGGGCGCCTGGGTGGCTCAGTCCATTAAGTGTACCACTCTTGATTTCCACTCAGGTCATGATCTTGAGGTGGTGAAATTGAGCCCAGTGTGGGGCTCTGTGCTCAGTGGGAGTCTGCTTGAGACTCCCTCTCCTGCTCCCTCTGCCCTTCCCCCACCCCCACTCACAGGTGCTCTTGTGCCTGACCTCTCTTACCTTCCCCGCCTTTCTTTAGAATAAGTAAATCTTAAAAAAAAAAAAAAAAGAGAGAGAGAGACAAAACTATTTTTGCATTTAGGCCTACAAAAAGTGGTGCCATACCGTCTCAGTGAATACTGCAAAGAAGGGCTGATAATGTTTTCAGTGGCTAAATTTCCACTATCCCAGGAGACCCAGTTACTTGGAATTTAGTATCTCAGTCAATAAGACCAGCCTGTTATATGTTTTATCAGAAGTGATAATTGGTTGCAATGAATCCTCAATAATCTTTTTCATGGTTTCTTAAGATCTGCTAACTTAAAGAGGTTGATTAATTGAAAACATTAACTTTTCCATACCAATTTGCATATTTGTAAAGCTTAAAACACTTCCACTGAGAAGTTTTACTTTCTAAAAATGACCAAGAATCTAAATTTCTGCCAGTCCTATGATCTAGGAACTTGTTGCTGTGACCAATTAGTTGTTTATAGGTGAAAATGAGGCAGCTAGCTTTGGGATTTAAAACTACCAGCATTGGAAATTACGAACGTGAAACTAGTCTTATTCAAATATTCAACATTTGGCAACTGTAGAGAGATGGTATATGCTTACCCAGGTGGTCTTAGGAATTGATAGGTTTGGCAGAAGAACAGATGCAAAATACAGCATTAACTATATTTAAATTAGGAAATTTGTCACAATCTTATTTTTAAGGGACTGATAATACAATTCAATCATATAGTAGAATATTGAATGGCCACTATATGTTGGTTTAGGTTAAGAGGTAAGTAATTGGATAAATACGGTATAAAAGACTAGTTGAGTAATGGTTGATAAGAATTTGTGGAGACTATTGTTAAATTTTGTACGTTGAAATTTATCAAGGTAATTAAAACATTCTTTTTTCTAGATAAAATTGTAAGGAAAGCTGGCAATTTGACAAACGCTTATGTTTATGAAGTGGGCCCTGGGCCAGGAGGAATCACAAGATCAATTCTCAATGCTAATGTTGCTGAACTTTTGGTGGTTGAAAAGGATAGTCGATTTATTCCTGGACTACAGGTAAGATACTTAAAATTGTCTTTTTTAGGAGGCAAAAACCCAATTTAAATCTTCAGGCCATGATTCTTAAACCTCAGAATTTCCGAGGATTATTTATATAGTTTGCTCTTCAAACTGCAGGTCTCCAGGCCCCATTCCAGAGATCCTGATTCCATAACCTGGAAAGATCTAGGAATTGTATTTCTAGCAAGCATCCCAGCATGGTCTGTTGACCATTACTTAAATAAACCTGCTTTATGCATTAATGCTAGACAAACTAGTTGTTTTGTGTGATCTCTTTTTAAAATCTAATAGCTGTGCATGTTCTGGCCCACTCCTTCAAAAATAAGTAAAATAAATAATGCCAATGACTTAGTTATTGGCATGGCTTCTGAGAACTTCATTTAGATTTAGAAAATCATTTCTACAAGCAAAAGTTGGAGAAAACATATGCTTTTTTAAAGAGAGATTAATTGTTAAACTTCAGCATTTGTTAAGAATTTTTTAAGTGAAGAAATGTTGTACCACTGTACATGTAGATTTAAGATGAGGTTTGAATGATGTGGTACATGGATCTTAAAACAGTATGTGCCATAATTATATGAAAAATATTTGAAGGAATTGGGCATGTTTGAGGCTGAGAAGGGGAGCCTTGAGTGAGGAGATTCATAGCTGCCTATGAAAAGGTAGCAGTGAAGAGGACAGCTTATTTTGATTTCTAGGAAAGAACTAATACAAGTAGATGGAAATTGAGGGAAGCAAATGTGGATTTAAAATAAGGAGGGACTTATATATGTTCAATGGTGGCAAACAGTGAAACCCATTATATCAGGGATTTTGTAAAAGGAATTCTTCACAGGGGGGCACTTACTGGCTAAAGGGCCTTTGTTTGATTCTTCTATAATTCTGAAACTCTACAAGAGCCCTTAGCCTTTGGCTTAGATGAGTAGCAATTTATTAAGTGAGTTCAATAGAATAATAAAGTTATCTGCACTATTACTTTCATACAAGAAACAAATTGGTTTAAAATTGGTACAATCTAATGCTTATATGTGCAATAATTGAAAAATGTTTCATTTCTACCAGAACAGTTTGAGGAAATTTGTTTGAAAGTCTGGGCTTTGTATGCATGCAACTGATTTTTTTTTTTAAAGAAATCTAGTGATTTATTTCTTATTGGACTACATTTTGTTTTATGATGTAAAAATTATGTAATATTTAGTGTTATCTAATTTTACCACTCAATTGACAGAATTAGTTTCAGTTTTATAACTTTATTTTGGGAGTCTCATATGGTACATATTTCTTGACATGAAATTTAATAGTGAGTCTAGTTTTGAACTACTTTGTTCATTAAAGAACTGTCTCTCAATTAGAGGTGAAAGTGGGAATATTTTATTTTTGGTGAGATCATGAGATGATGAAAAGAAGCTGAATAAGACTGTGTAATTCCATTTAGCCTTTTTTCATCTAGCCCTTTCTGGACATGGGAAATACTCATCTGACTTTTTGCCCTTGAAGAGACTTCCTAACCCTCGATCTTAGCATCTGTTATGTATAATTCTTTCTCATGAGTCAAGGAGGTGAAACAAATTTCTGTTCATCCCCACCTAATTTACATATTCTCCCTTCTGATCTCAACTAAGGATCTTTGAAGACAGACTGCTTAGAAGGGCAGCTACACACTTCTCTTTTCAGCTGCCCTACCAAGTCCCTGCACTCCTAACCCCTGTCTCATTAGATTGATCCTCTGATGGACAACAAATAAGAACATACTGTATCTGCCCCCTCTGGAATGTCTGCCAAGAGCATAGAGATTCTTGTGTTTCATTTCCTGCTCTATCTCTACCACATGCAACCATACCAGGCATATAGCAGGTGTTCAATAATGCCTTACATGGAAAAATAAAAGGTTGACTATATGTGTATGTATCCATCTAGGTAACCAACTAAATGTGTCATTTAATAATGAAAATGAATAATTATATAGCATTGATTATTAAAAAGTTTTGTGCTCATTTTTCTAACTATAAATATTTGTTTCAAGGTAAATTACTCTGCAAAAAAATGTGGATTTGTCTTCCTGTTTCTGTAGAAAAAGCAAAATTCTTAGTGTCTTATATTGAAAGAAAGGAATTTGCCTTAAAAAGAAATGTTGAGTACTAAAATATCAAATAGATTTCTTTTTCCTATAAAGGATGTTTCAATATGTAAAACCACTTTCATTTAGAGGTACTAAATTAATCATAAAAACGAATAAAGGCAGAAGGAGTGATCTATTTTAAAGATTCAACTTTAGTGGTTTCTAAGCTAATAGAATTTTTTTAAAGAAATTGTAATAATTTATAAAATGTCTTCTATCTGAAAGTATGTCATTTGTATCTTAATTCTTATAATATCGTCATGAGGCATCTTAGGGGAAAAGACATAGTGCTAACATACAGGTTTTACCATCAGCATGTTGTAAAGTAAAAAAGCATGTCTAATATGTGAAGGCATTATAAGATAGTTTTGTGGTAAAGAACACAGACCTCATCAAATTGCCTGGCTTTTGACTTCAGGCTCTACCATTTACTGGTTGTAGGACTTTGGAGAGGTATATTATGTCTCTCTGTGCCTCCATTTGCTCATAGGATTGTCATGATTAAATGAATGCCTCATACTTAGTTAAGGACTCAATATAATTTTCAGTATAGGTAATCAATTAGATTATTATCCCTGTGCCTTAGGCATCTCTGTTAATTAAGGATTGATCAGGAGACTGCTAATCTGGATCCCAGGACCCTGAAATCATGACTTGAGCCGAAATCAAGTAGGCTGCTTAACCCACTGAGCCGCCCAGGTACCCCTAGACATATTGTTCATGTGTTTTGTTTTGTTTTTTTGCCATCTCTATATCTTCTGGGGGGGGAATTGTGCAAATATTTTGAGCATTGTTTGTTTTGTCTTCATATTACTGTATTATAAGAGATCTTTATATAGTTTAGATACAAGTATTTTGTCAGATATATGTTTTATAGTGCTTTCTCTTCAGATATGACTTACCTTTTTTTCTTTGACATTTAACAGTGTCCTTCAAAGAGTAAAGCTTGTTTCAATGAAGTACAGTTTATCCGTTTTGTTTTCCTTTTGAGTTTGATGCTTTTTGCATCTTATGTTAAAAAACAATTGTCAAAATGAGAACTAAGAATTTCCATGTTTTCTTCTAGATGTTTTATAGTTTCAAGTTTTGCACATAGGTTTATGATACATTTTGAGTTACCTTTTGTGTGTAGTGTGAGGTAAGGGTACAGGTTCTTTTTTTTTGTAATTTTTTTTTTCTTTCTTTTTTTTTTTTTTTTTTTTGCACCACTTGTTTGCACCACTTGATAAAAAAAATTCATCTTTTCCTCATTGAATTGCCTTGGTCCTATTGTCAAAAATCAGCTGGTCTTACATACGGTGGTCTGTTTCTGGTCTGTTTCTGGCTTCTGCTGAGGTCCAGAAATATCAGTATCTTTTCTATGGATATATAGGTCTGTTTTTTGCCCTGAGACCAACCTATACTGATTACTGTAGCTTTATAGTAAGACTTGAGGGCAGGTAATATAAGTCTTCCCACCTTGCCTTTCTTTTCCAAAATTGTTTTGGCTATTCTGTAAGTCCTTTTGCATTTCCATATAGTTGTAAAATTAGATCATCAATTTCCTTTTTTTTTTTTTAAAGCCTGAGGGGATTTTGATTGGGATTGGACTAAAACTATAGATCATTGTAAGAACTGGCATCTTAATGGTATAAGTTCCTGGTCTGTAAACATGGTATGTCTCCCTGTTTATTTAGGTTTTCTTTAATTTCTCTCAACAGTGTTTTGTAGTTCTAAGTATGTAAGTCTTGCATATCTTTTGTCAAATTTACTCCATGTATGTCCTATTTTTTGGTACCCTGTTCGTTGGTATTAGTTTTTAATTTCTATTTCCATTTTTATGTTGCTGCTATGTAAAAATACTGTTTGTTTTGACATGGACTTTGTATCCTGCAACCTTGCTGCACTCACTTATTAGTGGCTGTTTTGTAGATTTCTTAGCATTTTCTGCATGTATTATCATTTCATCTGCAGTGAACACTGTTTTACCTCCTCCATTTCAATCAGTTTTGCCTCTGTTTCTTGTCTTGGCTATAATCTCCCATATAATGTTGAACAGAAATAGGAGTAGACATCCTTGCCTGTCCCTGATCTCAGGGGGAAAGCATTCAGACATTCTATTGAGTATGTTATTAGTTGTAGGTTTTTCAGACTGAGGAAGATCCCTCTGTTCTAGTTTGCTGAGAGGTTGTGGTGCTTTGTTTTGTTTTTGTTTTTGTTGTTTTTTAGTTTATTTGTTGTTTTTTTTTAAAAGGGTGTTGAGTTTGCAAAAATACTTTTTCTGAGTTTATTGAGATAATCATGACTTTTTTTTTTAGTTAATATTGTAAATTATATTGATTTTCTTTTTTTCTTCTAATGGTAAACCAACCATCCGTACAATCTTTGGTGATATCCTCTTTCTCATTCGTGATATTGGTAATTTGTGTCTTTTTTTCCTATCTGTCTGGCTGCATATTGGTGAGCTTTTTTGATCTTCTCAAAAAACAACAGCAAAAAAGCTTTTGAGTTCATTGAACTATCTTGCGTTCTGTTTTCTATGTCATTGATTTCTGCTCTGAAATCTTATGTTATTTCTTCAGTTTCCTTGAGGTTTAATTTGTTCTTTGAATAGGTTTTTAAGGTGGAAGCTGAGGTTGTTTCTTTAAGACCTTTCTTATTTTCTCCTAGGTGTTTATTGGTGCTATAAATTTCCTTCTCAGTATTACCTGAGCAAAATCCCACAAATTTTGATAGGTTGTGTTTTCATTTTAATTCATTCAAAATACTAACTTAAGAAAAAAAATTTATTTTGAGATCTTAGACGGAAAGAAAGACTTACAAAAGAAGTTCAGAATTCCCATAGAAAGCTTCAACTCCAGTTTCCCTTTTAATTTCTTACTTGACTTGTTGGGGTACT